GTAGAACCTGAGTCCGCGACAGATGCAGCACGCTCAGACAGCTCTGGTTGTGCTACTGTTGCTTTAAGATATTACAAGTTTATAGATGGTTGCCACCTTGAAGCTGCGAAACTATATCTCGGCAAGTTGGGCGGGCAGCTCGCACGGGCCAGCCAGTCATTGGATAATTTAGAGTGTCTTCACGAATCGAATTCTGAGTGCCGCACAGTTCGGTCATTCTGAGTGCTTTTACACACAGACTTTTACACACACACATGCTTTTACACACAGAAACTTTTACACACAGACGCTTTTACACACAGAAACTTTTACACACAGACGCTTTTACACACAGACACTTTTACACACAGACGCTTTTACACACAGAAACTTTTACACACAGACGCTTTTACACACAGAAACTTTTACACACAGACGCTTTTACACACAGACACTTTTACACACAGACGCTTTTACACACAGAAACTTTGAACACTTTTACACACAGACGCTTTTACACACAGACACTTTTACACACAGACGCTTTTACACACAGAAACTTTTACACACTGACGCTTTTACACACAGAAACTTTTACACACAGACGCCTTTACACACAGACACTTTTACACACAGACGCTTTTACACACAGACACTTTTACACACAGATGTTTTACACAAAGAGGCTTTTACACACAGAAGCTTGCACACACAGAGAGGCTTTTACACACAGAAGCTTTTGCATGCAGACCCTTCTTACACATAGATGCTTTTACTCACAGACGCTTTTACACACAGAAACTTTTACACACAGAAGCTTTTACACACAGACGCTTTTACACACAGACACTTTTACACACAAACACTTTTACACACAGAAGCTTTTACACACAGACGCTTTTACACACAGAAGCATTTACACACACAAAGTTTTACACACAGACACTTTTACACACAAACACTTTCACACACAGAGACTGGACCCGTGAAATGGCAATTTTACTTCAGCTTTTGGCGATCGAACTGCATTTCGTGCGAAAGGGTTGCACCGGATAAGAGAAATCGCAATTTTACGTCAGTTTTCGGCGATCGAACCTCATTTCGTGCGATTTGCCGCCGTATACAGCTTGGAAATCGCACTATTTCTGCAGTTTTTGGCGATCGAACTTCATTTCGTGCGACAGGGTTCGCCGGACAACTTGGAAATCGTACTTTGACTTCAGTTTTTGGCGATCGAACTTCATTTCGTGCGAAAGGCTTGCGCCCGGACTTTCGTGCGAAAGGGTTGCGACCGGATGCGAGAAATCGCAATTTTACTACAGTTTTTGGCGCTCGAACCTCATTTCATGCGAAAGGGTTAGCGACCGGATGCGAGAAATCGCAATTGTACTTTTGGCGATCGAACTTCGATTTCGTGCGAAAGGGTTGCACCCGCGGACCCGAGAAATCGCAATTTGACCGCAGTTTTTGGCGTTCGTACCTCATTTCGTGCGAAAGGGTTGCGTTTCGTGCCGTCTCGTTGGCACTGCCCAGCGCCTTCAAGAGAGAAATAGAAAAGAAGGAGAAAGCAAGAGGGCAAGAGAGCAAGAGGGCAAGAGAGAATGTGAAGATGAGAAGGTGTGAGGATGTGAATGTGAGGATGAGAAGATGCGAAGAGGTGAGAGCAGATGTGAAGATGTGAGGATGTGAAGATGTGAGTATATGTGAAGATGTGAAGATGAGAAGATGTGAAGATGAGAAGATGTGAAGATGAGCAGATGCGAAGAGATGAAGATGTGAAGATGTGAGGATGTGAAGATATGAGGATGTGAGGATGTGAAGATGTGAAAATGTGAGGATGTGAGGATGAGACAATGTGAAGATGTGAGTATGTGAAGATGTGAAGATGAGAAGATGAGAAGATGAGAAGATTTGAAGATGAGAAGATGTGAAGATGAGCAGATGCGAAGAGATGAAGATGTGCAGATGTGAGGATGAGAAGATGTAAAATGTGAGGATGTGAGGATGTGAGGATGAGAAAATGTTAAGATGTGAGTATGTGAAGATGAGAAGATGAGAAGATGTGAAGGTGAGAAGATGTTTTACAGACCCCCACTATTGGAAGAACCCTGCGCTCAGACGCTTTCGGGAAAAACAAGAGAACTTATTTTCAAAAAATGAAAAGCAAGAAACCAAACATGTAATACCAAGTGATGAAAAAACATTAAGGACATTTTACATATCACATGTACATGTGAAAATATATAATACAAATTGATACAACATATACATCCGCCAGGTGGGGTACCGCGGCTAGTGGGGGAGCACGTTTTTAAATATTTAAAACTGCGTGGTGTTGTGGCGCCGTGCACGTTCGATCATGAATTTGTTACTGATGTTCCCCGGAAAATATTTGAGTTATTTTGAGTTGATATTTTTTTGATACGAAAAAACCCTTGCTATGATTGCAAGTTTCGTGTCCCAAATTGTTTTCAGCCAGCTGTTAGTTTGGGGTAGCAAAGGGAGCACCAAGCTTGACTAAGATATTTTTGCAACCTTTTTTGATAGCTCCACCCTAGCATCAAATATGCCTCGAGCCTCCACTGCCGAGATCTGCCGAGGAACATATGGCCGTTCTAAGAAGATATAGGTCAAACAACCCCAAAAAATCCAAAAAATGGTTCACTTTGTTCCAAACATGTGTGTTTTTGGGAAAATCTCAGCACTACGCTCACGCACACAAAACGTAAGGATTTTTGGAACTTTAAAGAAATCCGAAAACTACCTAAAACCACGAGGTTTCAGGATTTGTGGGTTTTTGATGGTGTTTTGTTTTTTTTTTGCAGGGTTTTTCGGGTTTTCTCCTTAATCGTTTGAGGCGTTGCAAACATTTTTTGCCTTTTTCTCACCAAACCCAAAAAATGCAATCAAAGTACTAAAATCGAAGACCAAAGTAGTATATATCTAGGTGTTTTGGGTAAAATCAGTCGATATATAGGTCAAACTCCGAAAACACCAATATTTTCTTAGGATTTGGAGGGTCAAGTTCAAGGTGTACATTTTCAAAAATTGACACGACTATATACACCCGCAGCCTATATATACTATACAATACTATATATACATGCATGTGTGTGTATGAGGTATACTTAGTTGGTAACTAGAGTTGATTGGTCCAGGCTCATGGCTTGCTAGGGGGCGGCCACAATTGACCACATCAAACCTCCTAAAAAGATTCCACACATTTTTGAGCATGTCTTTGTTTAAAACGGGTCCTGAACCAGGTCAGCGCGAGGGAGTTCGTTCAAATCAATTGATACGCTCTCAAAGTGGTTCAAAAGTGTGGAAACCCAGTGGGCTTGAGATGAGCTGAGGGGCACCGAATTGGATGGATTAGATAAGTACCACGAGTGATGCAGTCAGAAAGTGTTCAGAAACATATCCTGGTAATCCTGGGTGAAATGATTACAAAGAGTGATGCAAGGGCAACTCCTTGAGTCCTTAAGTATTGGTACCAATGAGACAGCTGCCTGGAAGGGCTGAGAGGAAAATTGATCAAAAAGTTTAACTCGGAACATACTTGAAGGAAGGGGCCTATTTCAGAGACAGGAACGAAATCATAATATTATGCAGGACTGCAGGGGGCACCTGGTGTGTTGTTTTTTGTTGTGTGTGTGGGTGCTTCAATCGCATCGCCGGCCTATGCTGAATCAAAGCGTCAGAGTTGGGGCTGCCAGAGATTTTTCCATGCTCCTATTTCCATGAAATAATAGTTTGCAATAAGATAATGTTATGATATGTTTTTCATTTTATGCATATCTTCGGATAGCCACGGCTGTTACGAAGGCCCCCTCAAAGAATATGCTCTGTTTGGAAGTTTCTTTGCTTTGTTTTTTCGTTGGGTAAATGCATGAGCATTGAACTGCAATGGCATATCATTGCTGGTAACGCATTTCGGGAGACATACAAGGACATTCAAGCTGCCGCCAGTATCACATGTCCAAGATTGTCCAAGACTTCTCGAGTGGCCACCACTCTTGGCTTATCAGATCTTCATTCCGCGTGCATGGGTGCGATGAATGCTTTTGCGAGTGATGAGGCACGCCGCTTTCAAGATCGGATGCTCTCTGGCATTGTTGGCTGCAATCAATCTCATGGGGCCAGTAGGAATAACCATAGGATATGCAAAGATTTTCTACATTTTTCTACTACCATTGTTTCATGAGTGCAGTAGGAAGGAGTTAAGGAGTTTCGGAGCAAGAAGGGTTGATCTTAGTAGGCAATGTGATAATCCATGGTGGCGATACGCAACATGTCAACATGCCCATGCTTCCCTACTCTTCCCTTTTGTCTCAGTAAGCTCTCGGTAGGGATTGAAGGAAATTGTCAGAGCGGATGCCAAGGATGACTTTTCACTGTGGCATTACCATGGGTTTCACCTGCGCAGCAACTTGGAGCAGCACTAATCTCGCAAGTCAGCAAGCCTCCTTACCAAATTCATCCAAATTCATGCGGGTCGCTCTTTGGTCTTTTTTGCCAGGCTTCCCTCGCAGTAGCATCTGTTGTTGATTAAGCAGCTCATGCATGATTTGCAGCCTTTGAGGCCTGTTAGAACCCCACTGTGTAAGTTGGCGCATTTTGTGCCCTTTTTTCTTCGTTGAAACCACAGACATGTAGGAACAGGATCCAGATGCGATAGAATAGAAGTACTCCGACCAGCAAGAAAAAACGGAAATCATTTGTCACAAGAGGCCAGGTGAGACAAGGTGGGAAACACTGGGAACACAAGTGATGCAAGCTTCAAATTGGAGAGACCGGCAAGGAGAACAAGATGTCATTCTTGAATAAGCCATTTGCGTGAGGGAGTTGAAAACCCAATGAAACTTATCAGCTGCTGAGGTAGTGGTACGAGTGAACAAACAGAAACGATCATGAAGGCACCGTCGAGGCTATATTCTGCTATAAATATATACTTCTTTGCTTTCCAAAGACGGGCTTGGTGCCAGCCGTTCCGCGGCTTCCATTCCGTCCAGGTTTATCTTATGGGCGTGCTGCGCCCTGTGCTGGAACCTTTCTTTTGGGCTTTGTTTTCGGTGACCGCCCTGGAGCCTCTCTCAAGGCATCTCAGCTGATTTGATGAAAGCTGCCCATTATAGGCCTTTAGAATCGTTGCCACTACTTTCTTCACAACCATTTTCAGTATCATGCTCACAGTTGGTCATCGACATCATCCGCACTCCGTGACACCCGCTTGTTCTTGCAATCATCGCCATCAAGCCTTCTCAGACCATTTCTTGACCGTGTTGGACCCCTTGGGCTCATTTGCACCGTTTGAGTCTTGGTGTTCGCGCCAGTGCCTTCAAGCTGGGCCTTGCAGGTTCTTTGAATGCATGCTCTTGGCTGCAACCCGGCCAACCTTGAGCATCAAGCGACCTCATTGCCTTACGATGCCTTACGCAGCATTTGAAGCACTCCAGACTCCGTAGACATCTCTAGACTGTCATCTTTGTTCGTCGTTGTCATTCTGCATTGCTGCTGCGAACGGGATAGCCACAGATGGCCACAGATAATGTTGACAATAATCTCAAGAAGCTGTTTTTTTCCCCGGAAACGTGAAGTCATTTTCAACTGATGGCTGGGACATGCTGGGACCTGACTACCAGTATAATTGCATATAATTTTGAGGCCGGACAGCTCTTCTGTGGACGATTCTCGCGGCGGGGCAGGTCATCGGCTGCCTTAGTGCCTGAGTTGTTTCATTTGTACATTCCAAAGTCTGACATTTTCGAACATTCGGCCATCAACCCTCACGGAGGCCTGACAGTTAAATTTAGTTCTTACATGTTCTTACTGTATCTTACTGTGGCGAGCCCTGGTTGGGCCTGGCCTGGTAACATATTGGAGTACTAGGGAGTACTGGTGGGCTGTGTCTTACCATGTCTTACCTGTCTTGCTGTCTTCAAGAAAACATGTGATCAATTACTGTCAATAAATAAGGATTGAATTGTGTTTGCTTGTTTCAACCGGTCGGTTGCCTGTCCTACTACCGTATATTTACTGTAACTGTACCTGTCAGGATTCGTCACCAATTTATCTTATATATTTGAAGACACATTTGATTTTGCCTTCTCCCTTTCTCACTTTCTCTCCTGTTCTCTGTTCTTTTTCTTTGCCCTTCTCTTCGAATGTGGTCTCTTCACTTTCTTCACTTACTCTTAAATAGATGCCGTACACTAAGAACCATGCGTTTCTGTTCATCCGCAGCAATTTATGTGCACTCAAGCTGCTCCAGCTGAGTAGGTCACAGTCCATGGCAAACCGGCCGAGAACCAGCCCAACACGGCGGTTCCAAGAGCTGCTTTCTCTGGTTGCGGAGGACAGGCAGATACGAAATGATACAGGTAGTCGAAGGAAGTTTTGAAGTCAAACTTCCGACAATATGGACAGATGAAAAGCAGAGCAGGGAAGAGGCAGAGAGAAGAGAAAGATTAGAAGAAAGAAGAATAGAAGAGAAAGAGTAAGAAGAAAGAAGATGCAGATGTGCGAAAAGGTAGGAAAGTCGCAAAACACTGTGTTTTTCCAATGATTTGGGGCTCCGGAGGGTCGAAAAGTAGGCTCGCTAAAGTGGCGGGTGCGGAGCCAGCTGGCCAGATGAGAGATGAAAATTTGCACGCCGTTGTGGCGCGAAGCACATTTCCAAGTCAAAATGTACAAAATACCAGGGGTTCGGACCACTTTTGGAAGTTGAGATGTCGAAAAAGTGTACACGGTTGTGGCGCGAAGCACATTTCCAAGTCAAAATGTACAAAACACCAGGGGTTCGGACCACTTTTGGAAGTTGCGATGTCGAAAAAGTGCACGCCGTTGTGGCGCGAAGCACATTTCCAAGTCAAAATGTACAAAACACCAGGGGTTCGGACCACTTTTGGAAGTTGCGATGTCGAAAAAGTGCACGCCGTTGTGGCGCGAAGCACATTTCCAAGTCAAAATGTACAAAACATACCAGGTCCGGACCACTTTTGGCAGTTGAGATGTCGAAAAAGTGCACGCCGTTGTGGCGCGAAGCACATTTCCAAGTCAAAATGTACAAAGCACACAATGCTCGGACCACTTTTGGAGGTTCAGATGTCGAAAAAGTGCACGCCGTTGTGGCGCGAAGGACATTTCGAAGTCAAAATGTACAAAACACTAGGGGTTCGGACCACTTTTGGAGCTTCAGATGTCGCTTCACTAAACTACACTACACTACACTCCACTACACTACACTACACTCCACAACACTACAACTACAACTACACAACTACACTCCACTACACTCCACTACACTCCACTAACTAAATTACACTACACTACACTACACTACACTAAATTGCACTACACTACACTACATTACACTACACTACACTACCTTCCACTACACTTCACTACATCACATTACACTACACTACACTACACTCCACTACACTACAGCTACAACTACACAACTACACTCCACTACACTACACTACATTACACTACACTACACTCCACTACACTACATTACACTACACTACACAACCTTCCACCACACTTCAGTACATTACACTACACTATACTCCACTACACTACAACTACAACTACAACTACACAACTACACTCCACTACACTAAATTACACTACACTACACTATATTACACTACGCTACATTCCACTACACTCCACTACACTACACTACATTACACTACACTACATTACACTGAATGACACTGCACAACAGATAGACAGGTAGACAGACAGATAGACAGATAGACAGATAGACAGATAGACAGATAGATAGATAGACAGACAGGTAGACAGCTAGACAGATAGACAGATGAAAGAGAGAGAGAGAGAGATAGAAAGACAGACAGACAGACAGACAGATAGATAGATAGATAGATAGGTAATTAGATGGAAGAGAGAGAGAGAGAGATAGATCGATAGATAAATAGATAGATAGGTAGATAGATAGATAGATGGATAGATAGGTAGGTAGGTAGGTAGATAGTCAGAGAAAGAGAGAGAAAGAGAGGAGACCTCAATCACCTTTCGATCCATCAGTGGCTTCGCTCTGACATCCCTGATTCACAACAACCAACCTCTCCTATAGGTTTCCTATTTTTGAAACTTCCGCCACCGCCTTGTGCGGTACTACTGGTAGGATGACAATAATTACTCGTACTGCATCGGAGGATTCTCCTTGATCTCAAAGGTCAACGTTATACCTTGCGGCCCTCAGATTGATCCTTTCACATCCTGTCAAGTCCTTTCACCAAGAGATCAAAGGAGGCATTTTTCAACATATTTTGTATATTTTTGTATAACATGATATTAGCCTAGGTGGTTGCCTGTGTGTGTGTATGCATGCGACTGCGTGGGTGGCCTCTTGGCCATCCCACACCCATACACATCCAATCACATCCACACCCAGGTGCATAGGGAAAAACCAAAGCCATCAGAATCAAACGGACAAAGAATTCTATTCATAGGCCTTCGCTCGCACACGAATGTGTACAAAATACATTATTCTGCACACCGACTTTCCAACAGAGCAATTTTCCCTTGGTTGATTATCAGAATGACATGCCTTAAAACGAGCAAAGAGGGAAAGGAGAGAGATATCAGTAGACCATAAGAACAGAAACCAAGAAACCAAAAGAGGCACTTGCCCCCCTAAAAAAGGCAACAACCCTACACTGCCATATACATATACTCATATACTGTTTGAATGTGTAGGACTAAGGATGTGGACTCAAGACGCAATGCTCAGCAACCGCTGCGAAAAATGAACAAAACATGAACTAGTATGATCTAGTATGTATAGTTTTTCATTTTTTCAGTGGTTTTCTAGTGGTCCTCCAATGCTGCATCCCAGAAGCATTGGCAGGAGCATGAGGTGGAATTGCAGGACCTACGTGCTGAGAACCAGCGTCTCAATGAAGAGCTGCGCCGCTTACGTGGTGAAGTGCAACACGAAGTGCCGCACCATTCATTGCCTTACAGTGCCACCGATTTGCGTATGGCAGCCGCACATCCAGAGCCAGACCCGCCACATGTGGCAACCTCAGGACAAACTGACTTTTCATGCGACTTCCATGGATGCAACTCGTAGAAAGGGCCAGATGGGGATAAAGTATGATAAAGTTGCATGCACATGCTTGGACAGACCTATTTGATGCCACCAAAACTCCTTCGTGCTCACTGACTGCCAGTGCAGGCATCTGCCGCTACGTTGATCCATGGCGACAACCAAAACCCTTTGGTTGAAGTGGTCATCCATGGTGCCGGTGGCCTTCCAGAGGTTCTTCGACACAGAGAGTTGCCTCAGTTGGACTGTGACATAGGAGCCATCACCTCATGTCCGCACTACACTTCAATTAGCCTTTTAGATTCGGGACATTAGCGTCAATGCAAATCATTGACGAAGAGATGGCTGCAAAAGGAGATTGTTTGACTATTTTATTAATGATTAGCTTTGTGAATTCGACTGTGAGTGACTGCCTGGGTCAAGACGTATTCTAGAGGCTTGGCTCACAGTTATATAGGCACTGGGAAAGAGGTTTCAGGGAGAGAAGCAAAGTGGTGAAGGAATCGCGATTTGCTTCCAGACTGCTTGAATCTGGCAAGTACAGGTAGCAGCTAGCAAGAGCTAGTACTTCCCCACTGAATGATCGTCCAAAGGCATGCCTCAGCGAGGGGAGTGATTTAGGTTGAGGAGCGGTCTCTATACTTGGTGCCCTTTCTGTGCTCGTTTGTGATATGTTTCTTATATTTGCGCGAACAACTATGGAATTCTTGCAACAGAGTGGGTCCACTCCAGTATGTCCAGAAGGTAAGGTCCTACCCAGGCACATGGTAACAAGAACTTGGGATCCAGGCTTCCCCGCTCTCCTGCCATCTCCTGCCATTGAAATGCCTTTATGGCCGAGGCACTCCTTCAAGCAGCCGATGGTTCCACCTGCCAACTTTGCACGACCTTCGGTTTCGAGGAGAAGTCTAATTGTTTACTTGTTGAAGCAGCTTTGGCCACCCGACCTTTGTTTTGATATGTGATGTCATGGAAGGTCATTTGAGACATTCCAACTTTAATCATTGCATGTCATGCGCGTTGCCTGTTTGTATTTCAAGTCCTTGAATCTCGTTGAATGCGTGAGCGCGTGACTATATACATCTATCTATATACCAAGATTTTTGGATTTATGTCCATCCTTTTGTAAGGCTTCGACCTTGATTGAAACAAAAGGCCTAAAATAGGGCTCCTCTATAAGTCTATAACTTTATAGCCCTACCAAAATGCTTACCTCGAGTGGCCATGATGGCCCAAAGGTTTCACCAAGAGATGTTCTTAGGTCTTTTTTGATTTTAATATGATACTATAGAATGCAGAAACATGTAGAAACCAGGTTTCTCGATGGACAAAATTGCAAAGTCTGAAATGATGTTTGGCTAATCCCCCACCCCTTAAAATGTATGGAGAGGGGGTGGAGGTAGGATTTTTTTCATACATTTCCACCCCTCCCCTCCCTCTGAAACGGGTATTATTGAATGAACTTTTTTGGTAAAATTAAGAGATTACCTAAAGAGGTGGGGGGTGCTCCTAATACATTTTTCAGTATTTGGCTTCAAAAGCTTGTTTAGAAAAAGGTGGGTAGGGGGTTTCATACATTGATTTTGCAAGGCCATGGATCTTTGATGCTCATGGAGTTTTCCTGGGGAATCTTACGAAATAGCATGACGCTTTTGAGGCCCCTCCCCCTGAAATCTAAGTTTGCCAAATTCTGGGAGGCCACCTGCCCCAATGGGTTAATACATTTATTGTTACCCAAATTTGAAGGTTATTTGACTATTCTAAAGGCAGGCCAGTTGTTGACAAAATTTCAACTTTCATGCATGTGATTTGTCACAAAAACTTCAAACATACTGAAATGGTTCCTTTCTAACTTCAAAGGTGCCGTCCCTCTCAGGCCAGCGCGCATCAGATTTAAAAGTCCAAATTGTACAAATCATGCAGAAAAAGGCCTGTAGAACTACTTGTTCAAAAGGATAATGAAAATATTGTCTTAGACATAGCATCCAGAAAAAGACACAGTTTACCATGGCTCGAGCATGCGTCGCGTGGGTATTTGGGGTCAATGTGCTTTGCTGCCGATTCTTGCTGCTATGCTCCTGCCGCTTGTTGAATCTATGTGTAGCTTGACTCTTGGCATTGACTCTTGCTCCTGTCATTGCTTCCTTGATGACGCTCATTGCATGTACTTCCTGTGCCGTTTTTCCGTTTGATTACACTTCTGATTCTGCTGATGATAGTGCCACTAATCCCTTCCTCCTATTGCTAAACCCCGCCCAAATACTAAAAACTCGTCATCTCCAATTTTGGAAAATTTAAGATTGGCCATTTTGACTTTTAATTAAAAAAATAAAGCTACCATTTGTGGGTTTCCCCCCCTAATACTAAAAACTAGTTCACCCCGGGGTGTTTATTATTAGGGTCCGCCCGATTTTTTTTAGTTTTTTATATTCAGGTTTTTAATTTAGTATTAGGTGGAAGCTTCGAAATCCAATTTTCGGCAATATTTTAATTGCGTTATTTAAAGAGACTTAATTGATTTTGAGATCGGAGAATTGGTAGTTTTTATTATTAAGGGTTTTAATATTAGGGGTAAGCTTCGAAATTCAATTTTTGGCAATATTTTAATTGCGTTACATAAAAAAAAATCATTGATTTTGAGATCGGAAAAAGTAGTTTTTATTATCAAGGGTTTAATTTTATTAATAGGGTTCCGGTTTCCCTAATAATAAATACCACCCTAATACTAAAAAAAATATTACCTGCCGGACCTGCCGTGTCTATTATTAGGGGGGGCGTTTAGTCTTAGGAGGTAGAGACTATTGTTTGTGTACTGTGGCACCCAGTAGCGTCATTGTGAACCCGCTTGTGGACTTCCTTGTTGTTGGGCAACCTGCCCAATCAGCGTTTGCGTGCACATTGAGGTCGAATGTGCTGATGCCTTGTGGCGTGATTGTTGGGTGCACTTTTTGTTTGTAGTGTTGCGTAGCTCGAAGGTAACGTAGTAGATGCTTCAGCTTGTTCAAGCTGTGTTGTGTCGTTGCTTGCAAATCTCTTGCCATCTCCTTTGTTGCTTAGGAGATGTGTGGTCTTGTATATGAGATGTTTGGTCGTGTAGTATAGGTCAGCCATCGTAGCTCTCCCCGTACTCTTCTGAACTCTTCTCTATTGTGCATGTTCTTATTTGCTCAGTGGGACTTCATCACTGATTGTTTGCTGCAGGTTGATGCGGCAAGTTTCTTCAAAAGCTACTTGTTCTTGAGTAATGTGTTGCGATTCTTTTTTGTTTTTGCAACAGCGAGTGCAACTCGCTGTTGCCAGATCGCCTTGGAACTGCTACATCCAAGATGAGATTTGAATGTCAGGATTTGCGCGAAACAGTGTGTTTTTTTCAGGTATGTGGACGTTCCGTTGCGGAGATAAATTGGCTCGCTTGCGCGACGGGTGCAGAGACCCTCGCGGTAGCGCGGAATGTGCCCAGCTGACTTTTTGTCTCTTGTTTACGCCGCGCTATTGTTTTGCAACTCCGTCTTTGCAGATCTCCGTGTAATGGCTGCGTCAAGGTTTCTTGCTGCTGCGGCTGGGCATGTAATAGTTTTGTCTTTTGCAGCTGGGAGTCGTAAATCGTGGCTGCATCAAGGTTGCGATGGTGATTTGGCGACATTTTTTTTTGTTATGTTGGCGCTGGCGATTTTCCTTTCAAAATTCCTTTCAAAAGGTGCTTCAAAATTGTCCCTTTTTGGCTTTGGCGCCGAGATCCGGTTTTGGAGCTGCAATTTCCGCTGCTAGTATGTACAGTAAAGCCTCTTTGTGAAAAAACCGGCTCTGTGTAAAAACTTCTCTGTGTAAAAACTGGCTGTGCATAAATGCCTCTAAAATCTTCTAAATATGTGTAAAAACTGCTGTGTGCAAAAACTTCTGTTTATAAAAACGTTCCTTCTGTAAAAGTTTCTCGATGTAAAAACTTCTGTGCAACAGTTGGCTCTGTGTAAAAGTTTGCTCTGTGTGAAGGCTGGCTGTGTGCAAAAGTTTCTCTGTGTAAGAGCTCTGTGTGTGTAAAAGTTTGCTCTGTGTAAAAGTTTCTGTGTGCAAAAGTTTCTCTGTGTAAAAACTGGTTGTGTGTACATGTTTCTCTGTGTGAAAAGGTTGCTGTGTGTAAATGCGTGCTTTGTGTACAAGTTTCCCTGTGTGAAAAGGTCGCCGTGTGTAAATTGTGTAAAAGTTTTTGTGTGTAAAAGCTTCTGTGTGTAAAAGTTTCTATTTGCATTTTTTCTCTTTGTAAATGTTTCTCTGTGCGGAAAGGTTGCTGTGTGTAAAAATTGTTGTGTATATAAAAAGTTTTTCTGTGTTGAAAAATCGGTGTAAAAGCTGGCTCTGTGTAAAAGTTTGCTCTGTGCAGAGGCTGGCTGTGTGTGAAATTTTCTCAGTGTAGAATAGAGGAGGGAAGAGGTGAGGAGAGTTGAGATCGTGGGCAGTGGTGAGATTCGTTGAGAAGAGCTGGGAAGAGTTGGGAAGAGGTGAAAGGAGGTGAGCCTATTTAAGTGTCCATGGCCCACAGCCGATACGACAGGCAACCATTGATTTTTTGCATTTTTCCCTGCAGGATGCCAAGAGTGGTTGGCTGCCGCTGCAACGTGATGCGTGGATGAGTCACCTGCTTAGGAAGTGACGGAGAGGAAGCAAGCAGAGATGCAGAGTCTATTTCTGGGTGTGTAAGGTGTTCGTCAAAAAATATCCAACTATCCCTTGAATCTGAGAAACATCGTTGGTGGATGCTGGGGGTAGTTTTTCTATGTTTTCCTATATATAGTGAAATTTGCCTTGGCTTCTGGCAAGGTGCACCAAATATGGTTGGTGCCAGCGAACAGACCTGGGAGGCTGGAAACGGTTGCACAATTTGTTTGATTGACGAAAGTCATGCCACGCTGAGATCACAAGTTTAGGGCATGTTGGAGGAGTTTTGAAGGGTCGATCGATCATCTTTCATTATATCATTATTCATGCCTTTTTTCTGGGTTCAGAACACATGTGTTGGCTTCCTGGGTCTTTGATGGGCCCTTGCTTGGTCAGCCCCAGGACTTTTGAGTGGAGATGCCACAGGATTCCTCACACATTTTGTTTTCAGCATTGTTTTGCAAGTTATGGCGGCCCTGCCGACTCTTCCCAGCCAGGAAGAGTTTTGCGATGGTTTCCGCCGAAATGAAATGATTGGAAGATATTGAATTTTTAAGATATGATACGACACGAATCGGACCAAAAGATGTGCAATCGAATCCATGCGCTGGGCTTCGGTTTTTTGTCCGCAACACGTGTTCATTGCTTGAAACTTACATCGGGTTCTAATTCTCTTCCATCCCCAGGCTGTCTTGACCCGGCCGTGCCGTCTTTGCCTTCAAGTGGCCAGCACATTTCTCTCAGATGATGAACTCTTTGTCGAGTTGCACCTCCCTGGGCGAAAGGCAGGTGTTGTTTAGACTTTGTTCAGGTGCTCTTTATTGGACTCACTGTCAAAGGTGCTTTGAAGAAAGAGCGGGGGTAACACGGTACCACACCCGCAGCATCAGTCACTGCTGATAGCAAAGAGCACTCAACGTTATCTATCTTGATGCCAGGGGACACATGCATAAGAATGGTTGCAGATACTTGGGGTTCTTTATATAACTATTGGTACTCTCTACTTCTCTGTGAGTCATGCCGGTGGTCCCGGTGACATATGAGGACGATATGGACACAAAGAATGATGTTCCATACACACATGTGCTTATATATTCCACTTGGCGTATTTTCAGGACAGACTTATATCCGCCTCCAAGATTGTATATACATTATATATATAATATTTAAGTAGAATTTTGTAGATATATAATATCGATATATATATATATATGTTGTAATTAATATATATATATATATATGCACCGTAATCATGAGTTTCATTGAATAATGATTATAATACCCGTTGTCATGTACAAAATGCATGTGCGCGTGTGTTTGTGATTAGACGCCGTGCGCATGAACCTGCATGTGCGCAGTGAACTAGTACCAACCTGCATGGCTTCGAATGCCAGCCCAATACAGCTCAAATCAGCCCAACATAGCCCAACATTGTAGGTGGCTTTGGCTTGTGCTTCTGTGAAGCTGGGCTCGCAACGGCAGAAGTGGGCCTTCGACAGGGGCGGATTCCTGGACGCAGAAGTCCTCGTGAACGGAGCCCACAGCGTGCCAAAGATGGTTGCCAGCGAGAAGGCGAATACCAGAGCTTGGTCCATTTTGACATGTGTTGGCTTCTTAAGATCTAGATAGTATAGATATGTCTAGATTATAGATCATCTCTTTTAAATGTGTGCAGTCTGTTTTTGTGATGTATTAGGGCGGGACTTTGCTGACTTCATAGAGATAAAGGAATGACACACGGATAGAGGGACCAACTTAAAGTTGTGAATTCAGAAACCATCAGAAATCTTTTCATCGAAAAATGTTGCCATATTGTACGGGGATCCAGTGGTCGTTGTTCTGGCGAGCTTTTGAGGTGTTCCTTTTCCACCAAAGAATGGGTGTTTGGAAGAAACTATCAGATGTGTCAATGTTTTTGAGGACCACTAAAGTAAGAATGTCCTGTTGTTCCCTCATTTGCAACTTGATTTGGTGCGCACTTCGAGCAAGCTGTCGCAGCGTTCGAAGGATTCGGACAGCGATAGAGATAGCAAGGACCTATGGTTTTGACTGTGTTCCTGACCAATCACAGCCAAGTTGCGGCCAACAGAAACACAGACAGCTTGAACATGATTGAAAAACGAACAAGTGTTTTCCGGTCCAGATGTTCTTTATACAGTACTCATCGGAGTCCCATGTCCTTTAGTAGAAACATGAATGCGACGAAGCAGCAATAGATTTGCCGTTTCAAAGCATTGTAGCAGAAGGCAGCGGATGGGGCAGAGAGGGAGATAGAGATAGTGTAGGCTTCAGCACTCATCAGCGCGCAGGACGACATACGTGAAATTAAACAGGCGGGCAAAATCGAGATCAAGCACACCACATCCCAAAGGCTTCACAAGATTTTTAAGGCCCGGGTCAGGCTTTGGGGTGTTGGCAAGAGATGGCAAGAGCATCAGCAATGCATCAGCAATCTCGTTTGTTTCTTTGGGGCTCAACCTGTCAGGGCGGACCTGCCGTCCCGTCGGATGTGCTGTCCCCAAAGCAGCTAAATGTGCCCAAATGATGTTCAATGATTTTGACCCAGCAAGGATCCCGAACATTTGGGTGTGTCCAAATCAGACTTGAATCGTGTCCCTTTCCGGCACGTGTCGAATGTTCACACATGTCACCAAATTCACCCACTCATACCCACTCACAGTCACTCACACCCAGCTCGTTTCTAAACGTTTCGAAAAGATTCGAAAAGGCCTCGCCCTGTTCTCCACTTGCCCGCGAGATATTGCCAAATAATGCCAAATAGGTCAAAGATGAGGTGGCAAAGATGATCCTGGCTCGAGACTTGGCAAAGGACCGCACGCTTTGCTTTCTCGGTTTCAAGTTCAAGCAGCACGCTTCTCTCCTTGCAACCGCGCTCGTACCAGTACTGTAGATGCTTGTTAGCCAGGCCATGCATGCCATTGGGATGCGCAAGTGGCCGCATCGTAACGTACCCGTAACGTCATGCAGTTGTACAATGTTGTACACGTCTCATGCAGGCTCTGAAATCATCAAGGACGAAAGGAAATTCCTTTCAATTGAGCTTTGAGCATCACCAGCATCTTGGCTGCACAATCTGCACAGACAAGATCCAACTTTGATCAAACAATAGGTATATATATTTATATATAGATATATATATATATATCAAACAAGCTCAGCTCACGGTTTCAATATGTTTCAATCACTTCTTTTGTGCTTTTTTGATGCGTGCGATAGTTGTAGCTTGCTCATGAGCTCGGGGCAACCATTCCTCTCTGGACTTTACTTTTCGCCAGCCGGTCAGATGTCAGGATATATATATATATACGTACTTTTGTTGTGTTATCTACCAGGGCCCACAACTGAAGCATACAAATGCATACAAAATCATACAAGAACTTCTTAAACCAGCCATTCCGGACTCTCCCTCCATGGCCAGTATGTTGAGCTTCCATGGCATAATGATAGGTATCGGCTGTTTCTTTTGGCGCGGAGGGGTTCAAGGCGCTTTGGCTTTGGCAGCAAGACCTCAGGTTGGAAGAACTTCTGTATGAGCTGCAGAAGATTCATGGGCAGCTGGCCTGCGGTGATTTTGTGGGGCGAATGCAGTCTTCAGACGATATACCCGATATATCCAAGTAATTCCAAGTGTACATGCCGGATAGTGTAGCTTGAAGGGCGGGCCGTCTCGAGGCGCCTTTGGGCGGTGTGACCGTTCTTCTTTTCAACGTGATCCAACGAATGTCAACATCCCCACCCCCTTAACCTAGCTTTTTTGGGGGGGACCCTACTATATGTAACTTACATTTTTCGTTAGCTAGGTTCAAGATAGGTGGTAGAGGCCTTAAGTAAGATCCAAACATGTCTGGTACGTACGGCTGGTAGGTTTGGTTTTCTTGGTACGGTACGGTTGGTACGGTTGGTACGCTTAGTAAGGTACATTTGGTACGCTTACCAACCGTACCGACCGTACCAACCGTACGGTACATCCAAAACGCCCCCCCTTGACCCCCCCTTAATCTGGTACGGTACGGTGGTACGGTTCACTGGTACGGTTGGTACGGTCGGTACGGTTGGTAAGCGTACCAAATGTACCTTACTAAGCGTACCAAGCGTACCTACCCAAAGCGTACCAAGCGTACCAAGCGCACCAAGCGTAGCGTACCTATCTTATAGCTGGATATCAAGCACCTATCTTGAACTTAGAATTTTTCGGGGTGTTTTTAGGGGGGGTTAATTGTAACTTAAAATTCCTAAGGTACCAGAAATTCAGGTTTTGGAAGGGTGAAAAATGTAAGTTCTGACCCCCCTAGGTATGGTCCTGGTCAAAGCAATTTCAAGGTATTCCCCAGGAATGCACCGTGATCTATGGAAATGGGGGGGGGCGGAGAAAATGTAACTTACATTTTTTCCCCCCCCTCCCTTTTGGGGGTACCACTATATGCTATGATATAATATGATATAATATGATATATTACATTAACATACATTAATCTAGGATAACTTAGGCACACCAGTATTATCCAGAATTCTTGGCTTCAATAGTTGGTTGTGATTTGAGGGGGAACACTGGCTGCTGCATATTACATTTTTTGGTTCCTAGGATTCCCTGGGAATTCTGGTATTATATGGGTTTTGATGGGTTTTTTCTAGGTTGTACATTCTGTTGCGCATTCTTTCCAGCAATGCCTTTGGACATTTTGGTCTTGGAAAATGTAAGTTGATGATATTGAGGTGCAGGTTCCACTGCAAAAATGCAGGTTTTGAAGACCTTACAACAAGGATCTTACATATTTTGGTTCCTAGGATTCCCTGGGAATTCTGGTATTATATGGGTTTTGATGTGTTTCTTCTAGGTTGTACATTCTGTTGTGCATTCTTTCCAGCAATGCCTTTGGACATTTTGGTCTTGGAAAATGTAAGTTGATGATATTGAGGTGCAGGTTCCACTGCAAAAATGCAGGTTTTGAAGACCTTACAACAAGGATCTTACATTTTTGGTTCCTAGGATTCCCTGGGAATTCTGGTATTATATGGGTTTTGATGGGTTTTTTCTAGGTTGTACATTCTGTTGTGCATTCTTTCCAGCAATGCCTTTTGACATTTTGGTCTTGGAAAATGTAAGTTGATGATATTGAGGTGCAGGTTCCACTGCAAAAATGCAGGTTTTGAAGACCTTACAACCTTACATTTTTGGTTCCTAGGATTCCCTGGGAATTCTGGTATTATATGGGTTTTGATTGGGTTTTTTCTAGGTTGTACATTCTGTTGTGCATTCTTTCCAGCAATGCCTTTGGACATTTTGGTCTTGGAAAATGTATGTTGGTGATATTGAGGTGCAGGTTCCACTGCAAAAATGCAGGTTTTGAAGACCTTACAACAAGGATCTTACATTTTTTGGTTCCTAGGATTCCCTGGGAATTCTGGTATTATATGGGTTTTGATTGGGTTTTTTCTAGGTTGTACATTCTGTTGTGCATTCTTTCCAGCAATGCCTTTGGACATTTTGGTCTTGGAAAATGTAAGTTGATGATATTGAGGTGCAGGTTCCACTGCAAAAATGCAGGTTTTGAAGACCTTCCAACAGGGATCTTACATTTTTGGTTCCTAGGATTCCCTGGGAATTCCGGTATTATATGGGTTTTGATGGGTTTTTTCTAGGTTGTACATTCTGTTGTGCATTCTTTCCAGCAATGCCTTTGGACATTTTGGTCTTGGAAAATGTAAGTTGATGATATTGAGGTGCAGGTTCCACTGCAAAAATGCAGGTTTTGAAGACCTTACAACAAGGATCTTACATTTTTTGGTTCCTAGGATTCCCTGGGAATTCTGGTATTATATGGATTTTGATGGGTTTTTTCTAGGTTGTACATTCTGTTGTGCATTCTTTCCAGCAATGCCTTTGGACATTTTGGTCTTGGAAAATGTAAGTTGATGATATTGAGGTGCAGGTTCCACGGCAAAAATGCAGGTTTTGAAGACCTTACAACAAGGATCTTACATTTTTTGGTTCCTAGGATTCCCTGGGAATTCTGGTATTATATGGGTTTTGATGGGTTTTTTCTAGGTTGTACATTCTGTTGTGCATTCTTTCCAGCAATGCCTTTGGACATTTTGGTCTTGGAAAATGTAAGTTGATGATATTGAGGTGCAGGTTCCACTGCAAAAATGCAGGTTTTGAAGACCTTACAACAAGGATCTTACATTTTTTGGTTCCTAGGATTCCCTGGGAATTCTGGTATTATATGGGTTTTGATGGGTTTTTTCTAGGTTGTACATTCTGTTGTGCATTCTTTCCAGCAATGCCTTTGGACATTTTGGTCTTGGAACATGTAAGTTGATGATATTGAGGTGCAGGTTCCACTGCAAAAATGCAGGTTTTGAAGACCTTACAACAAGGATCTTACATTTTTTGGTTCCTAGGATTCCCTGAAAATTCTGGTATTATATGGGTTTTGATGGGTTTTTTCTAGGTTGTACATTCTGTTGTGCATTCTTTCCAGCAATGCCTTTGGACATTTTGGTCTTGGAAAATGTAAGTTGATGATATTGAGGTGCAGGTTCCACTGCAAAAATGCAGGTTTTGAAGACCTTACAAGGATCTTACATTTTTTGGTTCCTAGGATTCC